TAAAAAAATAGAATTTGCGTAAAGGAGTCTATATCAGACTGGAACAGTTTAAATGGAGTCCAGGGGAAATGGGATTATTTAACAGTTACACTACTGAAAGCAACAGAAAATTCCATTAGGCTTGTCAGGAAGAGCAGAATAATTAAGAAACCACTGTGGTATTCCACATAAGTAGCCAAAATAGTAAAAACAAAAAGTTAGCATTTAGGAATTATAAAAAAAAAACAGAGTGAGGAAGACAGACAGATCTATAAGATTAGGCAGAAAGAGGCAAAGCAAAGTAGAAGAGCCTCCAAAACACACACAGAAGAGAAAATATCACAGTCAGTAAAAAAGTGGATAAAACATTTTTTAAATACATAAATGAGAAAAGGAAAGTAAAACAAGGATTAGTTAGATTAAAAACAAAAAAGGAAGGTATGTAGAAGAGGATAAAGGTCTAGCTTACTGCCTTAGTGAATATTTGTTCAGTATTTATAGATGAAAATGAAGGAGATGGACTTCAGTTAAGAAAAAGGACAAATAAGTCATTTGTTACATTGAGTTTACAGAGGAAGAGGTTCTACTTCAACTGTCAAGAGTAAAGATAAATAAGTTGATGGGGCCTGATGGGATACACCCAAAGTTATTAAAGGAACTGTGGTGTACTAGCAAAACCATTTATGGATTTATTTAACCAATCATTGTTAACAGGAGTAGTCTCAGAAGCTTGGAAATTAGCGAATGTTCAGAGAATGGCTACTAAACTCGTTCATGGTTTACAGAATAAAACGTACAAGGAAAGGTCATGTATAGCTTGGAGGAAAGACAAGACACATTTAAATAAATAAAGGGAATCAACACAGTAAAGGAGGAGACTATATTTAAAACAAGAAAAACTACATAGACTACGTATTTTGGCACAATGCAATTAACAAACATTCAACCAAAGCAGCCTAACCCTTCCCACCCGCAAGTCCCTCTAAATAGCCCCCTTGTTTCAGAACCTGATCATGGATTAGATATCCTATTACAACACAGTCGAAAGTTGTCCCAATTTTCTCTCTCTGTCAACACGCGAAGAGCATAGGATAGAGCTTTTGTTTTATTTAAAAGATTCATCTTGGAACACAACATTACTTAGCCTTTTCCCATAACAACGTTATGGGTAAACGTGTCCAAAGAGGTCCAAATGCCAGCTTTACAAAAAGTGTCAGCAGAGACCATTGCCATGGAAGTCCAAGATGCTGCAACTGCATGAGTGGAGAGTACCCTGATACCCTTCGGTACAGGTAGAGAATGGCATTGATAAGCTTTCACATTAGCCAGGAGCTCTGGTGCCAAATGCAAGACAACCATATCCTGTTGAAAATTAGTGAATGAGGGTTCACGGGGCCAAGCCTGGAGTTCACACATTTTCCTTGCTAATGTACTAGCCACCAGCAACAACACTTTCTGTGCTAACATCATGTAAGCTCCTTCTAGAGGTTCAAATGATGGTTTAGGTAGAGCCTGTAAGACCAGTGGTAGATCACATATTGGCTTCAACACCTTCAGTTGAGGCTTGAGATTAATCACTGCTTACATGATTGCTTACAAGCACCAAGGGCTCCAATGGGTACGCATCAATGTGGAAAGTGCCTATATGTGCTCCTCTAGAGTGTTATAACTCAGACCCTTTCTAGGCCTGATTGAGGAGTTATTCCAACCTCTATTCTTGAGACCAACAGACAAATGCATGCCAAGTTTTGTAATATGTAAAATATTTATAGGACTGTAAGAGGACCTTAATGACCATCTCAGGGATGCCTATACTTATAGAGACTCCCACATCAACACCAGAACTTGAGGATCTTGGTGTGTCAAGAGACCTTGTAATATGTCTGGATGTACTGGAACTTCCCTTGGAGGTTCCAGATTCCTCTTACTCATCATAGGAATTTAGAGTTGACGTGGCCTTCCGCTGTCTCCTTTTGGATTACCTTTAAGAAAGTTGAAAACAAGAAAAAACTGTACATCAGACTGAAATTCCAAATTTGAGTCAGCGTATCATTCTGGTCCTAAAATCTAGAAAAATGCTTCTGGACCTGGTAGTTCCAAGAAATGTCCACTAGATCTACATAGGGTATCAGTCAAATTTGAGTTAATCCTGAGGATATGTCAGGATATAGTTGCCATTAGACATGTGCAATTCGGTTCGGTCCGAATGAAAATTTCAGACATTTGAATTGTCTGAAGTGCCGAACCGAATTGCCAAAGTGCCGAATTTCAGAAGTGCTGAAGTGCTTCGGACTTCTGAAAAGTGGCAAAACAGGGAGGGGTAGGATTAGGGTTGGGGTAGAGTTAGGGATTGGAGTTGGGATAGGGTTAGGAGTAGTGGTAGGGTTAGGTTAGTAGGGTTAGGAGTAGGTTTAGGTTAAGAGTAGGGTTGGGGTAGGGTTACGGTTAGGAGTTGGGGTAGGGTTAGGAGTAGGGTTAGGAGTATGCCTAACCCCATCCCTAGCCCTACTCCTAACCCAACCCTTACCCTAACCCTACTCCTAACCTTACTCCTAACGCAACCCTACTCCTAACCCAACCCTAACCCTACTTCTAACCCTAACCCTACTCCTAACCCTAACCCAACCATAACCCTACTCCTAACCCTACCCTAACCCTACTCCTAAACCTACCCTAACCCTTCTCCAAAACCTAACCCTACTCCAAACCCTACTCCTAACCCAACCCTACCCCTACTCCTAACCCAACCCTACTCCTTTACCAACCCTAACCCTACTCTTATCCCAACCCTAACCCTACTCTTATCCCAACCGTAACCCTATTCCTAACCTAACCCTACTCCTAACCCTATTCCTAACCCTACTACTAATCCTACCCTAACACTACTCCTACTACTAACCCAACCCTAACCCTACTACTAACCTAACCCTACTCCTAACCCAATCCTAACCCTACTCCTAACCCAACCCTTACCCTAACCCTACTTCTAAACCAACCCTAACCCTACTCCTAACCCAACCCTTCTCCTAACCCAACCATAACCCTACTCCTAATCCTACCCTAACCCTACTCCTACTCCTAACCCTACTCCTACCCCAACCCTACCCTTACTTCTAGCCCAACCCTAACCCTACTCCTTTCCCAACCCTAACCCTACTCCTATCCCAACCCTAACCCTACTCCTTAGACTACCCTAACCCTACTCCTAACCCTACTCTCCTAACCCTACTCCTAATGCAACCCTAACACTACTCCTACTACTAACCCAACCCTAACCTAACCCTACTCCTAACCCAACCCTATCCCTACTCCTAACTCCTACCCCTACCCCTAACCCCACCCTAACCCTACTCTCCTACTCCAAACCCAACTCCTAACCTAACCCTACTCCTAACCCAACCCTATCCCTACTCCTAACCATACCCCTAACCCTACCCTATCCCTACTCCTAACCCGAAGTGTTGAAGCTCAGAATTCCTGAAGTGCTGATTTTCGGAAGTGCCACAGGGTCAAATTGCCAAATTGCGGAATGCTGAACCAAACCAAAATTTGCACATCCCTAGTTGCCATTCCACCTTGTCCACAGTTACTCAGCTCACGTAATCAGCCATTGTATTCTGAGTCCACCTTGATGATTGATATAGCATACAGCCGCATTGATATTTGAACAAATTCGGACCCACTTGATCTTCATGAACCCTCTGAAGTGAAGAAGATCTCTGAAAATTACTTGAAATTCCATAAAATTGGATGGTAATATTGTTCCTTTCCTTATCCACAGACCTTGTGTAACATGGTCTAGACAATGCACATCCATTCCTT